AAGGAGCAGATGATGCAGTTAAAGGTTTAAAATGTATTTGGATTTCACATATCCATGCAGATCACCACACAGGTCTTGCAAGAATCCTTGCTTTGAGACGCGATTTATTAAAACGGGTCGCACATGATCCATTAATTGTCATTGGCCCTCGACAATTAAAAAGATTTCTTGATGCATATCAAAGACTTGAAGATTTAGACATGCAGTTTCTTGATTGTAGGCATACAACAGACTCAAAAAATAGTTTTCAAGATTCTAATTTGTTTACAAAAGGAAGTCAAATGCAGAGTCAATGGAAAAGACCAAATAGCCCTGTGGATATGACCTTAGTGTCTCCCATTATCAACAACTTGAAGGAAGTGCTGAAAGATGCAGGTTTAGATGATGTGATTAGTTTCCCTGTTGTTCATTGCCCTCAAGCTTTTGGTGTTGTTTTGAAAGGTAGGGGTAAAATCGGAAATAATGGTGAAAATATAAACGGGTGGAAGATTGTTTATTCGGGTGACACGCGACCATGTCCTGAAATTAATCAAAGCTGCTCAAGGAGCAACGGTTCTTATACATGAGGTAAAGTAACCAAAGTTTGACTTTTCAAAGTCAAAGGTCTTGATAGAAGTTTTATAAAATACATTGTAATAATAGGAAGAAAACAGAATTGCAAAAATGGTCCCTGTGGTTTCTCATTTTATGTGGCTAAGGTCCAAACCTTTGAAAAGTTGCGGATTTGGTCCTTTTCAACAAGTTTTGTTGTGGTTTTGGTCTTTCTTTCGTTAACTTATATCCTAATATTTATTAGGATATAAATATTATATATTAAAAATAATATTTATTAATATATAATAATCCAATAAAAAAGAATTACTTCAATTAAAAAAATTAATAATCCAATAAAATAATATTATTTATATCTTAAAAATAATATTTAATAATTCAATAAAATTAAAAAGAATATATGCAGAAATGGTCCCCAAGGGTAAAATTGTCATTTTAAAAAAGTTAATGGAAGAGGGACCAAAACCACAACAAAACTTGTTGAAAATTCCTTGTAGTTTGGTTGCAGAAATGGTCCCTAAGGGTAAAATTGTCATTTTAAAAAAGTTAACGGAAGAGGGACCAAAAAACCATAACAAAACTTGTTGAAAAGGACCAAATCTGCAACTTTTCAAAGGTTTGGACCTTAGCAAGATAAAAATGAGAAACCATAGATAGGGACCATTTTTGCAATTTTGTCTAGGAAGAAATATTAAAAGTTTAATGTGTTATTAAAATCAGGCAACTTTTGAGGATGCATTGGTGGAGGAGGCGATAGCAAGAAATCATAGTACAACTGAAGAGGCGATTGGAGTGGGGAACAGTGCGGGTGCATATCGGATAATTCTTACCCATTTTAGTCAAAGATACCCGAAAATACCAGTTTTTGATGAAAGTTATATGCATAAAACATGCATTGCTTTTGATATGATGAGTGTAAATTTTGCTGATTTACATGTGCTTCCAAGAGTGCTTCCTTACCTTAAACTGCTGTTTAAGAATGAAATGATTGTTGATGAAGCGGATGATGTTGAGAATGTTGCCACTGCTGCTGCATGAATTTAAATGTCTTCGAGTTGTTCTTATGGATTCTTGATTATGTTCTTGAATGGAAACTGTTCTTAAAGTTTAGGGGCCTTATTTGTCGAGTTTCTTTTTTAGTGGGTGTAAATAATTCTTGTTGCTTAGTTGGAGGGCGTCTTTTATACTTCTTTAATTCATTTAAGGGCAAAGTTGCTAGAAATAGCAGCATACTATACTCTTTTTTTTAATCAATTAGTAATTTGATTTTTACCCAATAATATCATTGCACCTACAATTCTTACACTTACATTTATTTACACATAGTAGTCATGTGCTTACATATATTATCAATGATAACTTGAAACTTGTTAAAATAAACTTAATTATTTTACCAATAATAGCAAAATGCACTTACATGTCATCACTTGTAATGTGGGATGATGTGCTTAGTGATTACAACTTTTATTGATGATAGCCTGACCTGTAAAAGTTTGTTTATCTTTAATACCTATTATAATTTGATATTGGTTAAGGCATTGCCTCTACTCCTCTAGTGGTAGCGAGTAAAATAAAGTTATTATTCCTCATAATTTGTTCATTTATAATTAGTACCCTTTTTTTCTTAACAGATTACAATATACTTGGGAGGCCTCTCATCACTTACAATAGCAACATGCATTTTTTTTTACAGCAATGGCAACTTCAAGAAACATGTACAAAAGATCAAGAAAACTTTTGAAATGCACTTATTTACATACACTTATGCACCAAAACCATCTACTTATATACAAATAAACCATGAAGCTTGCTTCTTATTTATGCCTTATTCCCTTTTTTGTATTGTATCTATGGCACCACCACTGTAAAACTTTTATCTTCTTCACTCTTTTCACTAGTTTCTCTAATAGCCCATGACCCCACTTCCATCTTTTTGGTTCTCTTTAGTTGTCTCACCAAATTCAATCGTTCAGATGAATAAGGGGAAGGTATCTATTGGACATAATACAACAAGATTATTATCACAAGAACACAAGAAATTAATAATCATAAAATAAACATTTTTTTTTTAATTAGATGTACCAATGATGGGACGTATTTGTTGATTGCAGCTAAGATTGCTGCATGCCCGACAGCTGACATTGGAATTAGCATTAGGATTGTGACAGGGACAAGTGTCACCATGTCATTCAATGTTCTCTTTATTTTCTTTTTTTCTCTATTTGTAATCTTTTTGCCACGTAATTGCTTCACAAGGAGCCCAATAACATCCCCCACATCTATGAATAGTAGTTGAGTACCCATACAAACAATCTGTAAATCATGGTTCATGTCAGTATTCGAATGTTTTTTGAAGGAATGGAATCTGTCTAAGGAATTGGAATTTGAAGGAACTGGAATCTGTCAATGTATTTGGTTGGCAAGAATTGGAATGGAACGGATTTGAATTCCTTCCACCCTCTCCTCCTAAGAATGGTAAAACATGGATCTTGAAGGAATTGAATTCCGTTCCGTCCATTTGCTAACCAAACAAGTCCTGGAATGGAATCACGTATTCCAATTCCATCGGAATCACAGATTCCAATTCCATCGGAATCACGGATTCCAATTCCATCGGAATCCACGAACCGAATCGGTGCCTTACATTACTGGCATATATGACCTTTTCCGTGGATTTTCTAAGTAAACGTTCATACAAACGCTTTCTTTTCCTGGCAACCTTTAAATGGTTGATTCCTGCTAATAAGCTTATACCCTGCCAAAATATTTAACGTTTTAATCAACCAAAGAAAAAATCACAAAGAATAGCAACCTACTTTACTCTCATTTTACCAATATTGGCAATGTACCTTTATCTTTCACCCATAATAGCAAAATACTTTATGTATTTTTAACTCATAATAGCATTGTACTTACATTTATTACCGATAATAGCAACATACTTTAGTAAATAAACAAAGTACATTGCTCATATTGGTAAAAAAACGAGAAAAGTATGTTGCTATTTCTCACCATCTACCATTAAAGAAATCATAATCTCTTACTAACAAAATGAAAAAGTCACATTTCATGAGTTAAATTAGGGTGAAATTGATACCTTAATCTCTCTAGACACCTCTTCATGATTCCCTCTTTTCATCAATTCAATCGGCTTTGAGTGAGCTTCCAATAACATAAATGATTCAGGCACAACTCTTTCACCAAATTTCATTACTTCACTGCAAAAGGAAAAAAAAAATAACGTATTAAGTTGTTTTTTCTGTATTAAGTCCTTTTATCTGTATTAAGTCAAAAAGAAACAACACCTTACCCTGACTTATCATAAGTCGCCCAATACTCCTCTAGGCAATTCGACAACAAAGTTTGACTACAAATTACATATCAATTATCATATATAAGTTTGTGACATAAAAACATGTTATATAAGTTTATTTTTTATAAATAATACTACCTTTGAGACAAAAATGAAAGCACATCAGAATTTAGTGATTTTTGAGAAGAAGTTGTATAATGTACAAATCCGGAAAAAACATCATAGCAAACAGTAAGAACTGTGTACAAAATTATCTCCTTTTCTGTTTGATGTTTTCTAGATCTTCTTCCATCATATTGGAATTTGCATTTAAGTGGAGCATAAAAATCAAGCCATGAAATTTCATCTATAACCACCTGAAAAATAGATAATGGAATCATTAAGATGTAATATTTTTGGGTTTTTATGAGAAATTGTATTATTAAACAAACCTCAATGAAGAGTTGATACTTTGGGAGGGAGTTAAATTCAGGATAGATATACAAGCTACCACACTCCAAGTAACTATACAAGGTTCAAAATCTTCATGATTGTTAATCATAAATAAAAAATAATGGGCTAATAACAAAAAAACAAAAAAAAAATTATATCACAAAATATCACATGTTTCGCAAAATACATATTTATTTGGGTTTTATGCAGAAAAGTCTCATTATTTTGGGAATTTTTTTGATAAAGTCCTAAATATTTTTTTTTTGAACTGAAAATTTTCGTTATTTTGGGAAAATCACATAATCTGTCATTTCCTTTTAAAATAAAAAATGATTTTTTTTCGTTGATTTGGGCAAAATGTTAAATCATCGGGATTTTTCTATTCAAAAAACAAAATTTATAACTTTTTCAAAAAATTTCAAAAAATAATGAGACTTTTCTGCATAAAACCCTATTTATTTCTAGAGAAATTAATTTTTTAGTGCCACTAAATTTTTTTCATGTAAAAATTAATTGTTCTTTTTATAGAAATAAAAAAAATTGTGTATTTTTTCTATTTTTTTTATAGATTTTTCTAGTTGAGACCATTGATAAATAATTTCAAGAAATTACCTTTTTTAGTGGTCACGTTTTAACGTAAATAAATATAGTTCACGAAAATTAAATTTTGCAAAAAGAATGATTTCATTTTCACGAAATGAATTTTAAGTGGGACCACTAATAAATTTTTTTCAAGAAAAAAGGTATTTGGCGAAATAGGTGATCGTATTTTCTTCCCATTTTTGGTTATTCTTGTGATTAGCCCCAAAAATAAAGCAACACATTTTTAAATGATTAAATCTACCTTAAGAAGTCCTTAATTTGATCATCCATCTCTTTTATATTCATATCTGATAAATACAATCTTGTCTCTCTTCCCAAATATGCAAAAATCCCAAGAGTTGCTAAAGTAGTTTCTTCAACCTAAATAATTATTATTAAACCAAAACCACTTTAATTATCTAATTAATTGCACAACATAAGCACAATTATAATACATTAACACATAACAGACCTTTTCTATGAAGTTTTCTTGAGGTATTATAACACTTTCTCTATGAAATGCTAAAGAAAGTTTTTTCTTCACGAGTCCAATCCAAAATTCCACATCCTCTATATTCTTACTCGGTAAAACTTTTTTACCACAATGTAATAAAAAATCTTCTTCAAATCCTGCTTTGATTGACAAATTATGCAATTTATCTACTGATACAAGATCACATGATAAATCCCTAAATTCAGCCAATGAATCATCAATCGATGCAGTAAATTGAGGGCAAGAAATACGGCTTGAACCCAATTTTGTTATCGAAGTACAACAAGTTATCGCAAGAATCACCCCTGCAACACCACTGAATAACTTTATGTTATTATAGATTATCCAATTTGATCTTTTGATTTAAATCAAAGAACCCCATTTTTTTGCATACCTTCTAGAATATTCCGCAGACCATTTCTTGAATAGTGGAATGAACAATCCTGCAATTCGTGGAAGTTCTACTGTTCTGAACCATTGAATTAATTTCGGTTGCTTTGAATTCAATTGGGTTTCTATGAATTCGCCAAGGAATAATGTCTTTGAGGATAAACTGAAGTAGAAAAGGATTACAGCTTTAAAGATTGGATAAATTTGTAGAAGTTGTTCAAAGAATGCGTTGAAATTCACAAGATTTACATTTCGTAGACTTGACTGTTGCTTCGTTTCTGAGAAAGAGATAATCCCACTTCGATTGCAGCTTTGAGTAAAGCATAAACTGCTACCTGTAAAAACAATGATATGGCTATTTATGGTTTATATAGTAATGATCCTAAATTTATAAAATTTTATATCTTTTGATTATAGGTCACCTGATATGCAGTGTGTTTATGCCATGCATTTACATCGATTCCGTTCCAGGCATTTGAAAGCTCGGGACCAGTTTTAGCGAAATCTAGAGATTGAATTGCGAGGGAAAAGCTTCTGGCGGAATGATGTAATACCCATATAAGACAATTAACATGGTTAAATTCGAATTCGTTTGTGTGTGTTGTAATACCCAATGAAGGTTCATCTTCAAGAATGAAATTATCGATACCAGAAGAGGGAATTGGTGATAGAGATTTTGATGATGAACGACTTAATGAGATGTTACGAGATGATGAAACGCAAGCTCGAAGTGGATTGTTCTTGAGCGAGCTACGCTTTAGTTGCTGGTTTTTACTGAACTTTGCGAAATTAGGTAATCTGGAACTGGTTGTGTCTTCTGATCGAGCGGAATCCCTGTGAAATAGAGAGATAAATCAATGAGTTTTAACTGTTTAAAGAAAACCTAAATCAAGAACAACACATAATGCTCTGTAAAAGAAGACGCGTAACATTGAAGCAAACATCATAGAATGTGATGCAAACGGTGAAGGAGAGCTTACAGGTTGTATGAAGATCGAAATGAGAAGTGGGAGGCCATGGAAGGCGAAAGAGAAGAACATGGTGGAGAAAGGTGGGGATATATAGAAGCGGATGATTTTGAAGCGAAACCATCGAGGCAGCACACAGACAGGGATTGAGAAGTAGATTAAATTAAGGCTATTGGGAGTGCTCACACCACCAAAGCCACCGGAAAAGCACATCATTTATATTTTAATTTTTAATTTTTTTTTAACATTAGAGATTAAATAAAAAAACATAATTATAAACTTAAGTAATCATTTTACTAATTAAAAAATCAAATAAACATATTATTAATTTTTAAAATTAAATAATATATAGTTATGTGTAGTTGAGGTTTAACTTAATTCAAATAAAAGTGAGAGGGTATAATAAGATTAAAAGACATAATCTCAGGGACCAAATTTATAACTTGAATTAAAGCAAATATGAATGTCCACTATTGGTCGTCTTCTTCACCCGCTTTCTGGAAAATGGTCCATTACCATTTTTTTTTACTTCGAAGGATACAAAGGAAACGGGAAAAAAAGTCAAATATGTGACCGTTGCTGCTGCTGGCTTTCTTATTCGCCGTCTTCGTCCGTCCTTCCACCCACGCCACACCCAAACCACCGGCCTTAGGGGCGGTGTTCACGCGTCCTTAGGCCGGACACATCGGCAAGACGCGTGGGTTAGTCCTCCCACTCTGGTTAGCCTAATAGGTGGTGTTGTTTATGTATCATGATCCATATAATTCCTCCTTATACCATTTTTTTTGGATAATGACGTAAAAGGATAATATATTTTTCGATTTGTACACATTTGGTCACTGAGTTTTTTTTCGTACACATTTACCCATTCAATTTGTTAAACTGTACACATTTAGTCCTTATGACCGGTTATTCCAGGTTAGTCGGGAAAAATGACTTAATAAGGTAATATATTTCTCACTTAGTACACATTTAGTCCTTAATATTTTTGTACACATTTAGTCCTTAAATTTTTTTTTTGTTGCAAAATAAGTCATTTTTGTTTTTGTACTCATTCTTTACTTATGAATGATTTTTTTAGTTTTTTCTCACGACATCTTACGTGAGACAATCATTAATGAGGTGTTTGGGGATTTTGATGCTTATGTCCATCGCGATCTCGACTACTTGGTTGCTTAGGTCATGTGTTCTGAACGTCATAACTTCTTCATACGATCTTGGATTTTAACGATCTTTATATCCATGCATTCATAGTTTAGTCTACTACAACTTTTGTTTAGATTACTCCCGTTAAAATGTAATATATTTTTACTTACGATCTTTATATCAATACATTTTTTTATGAATGCATGTATGTATGTTTTTTTAATAAAATCGTAAGTAAAAATATATTACATGTTAACGGGAGTAATCTTAACGAAAGTTGTAGTAGACTCAAAAAACGAACACGTGGATATAAATATCGTTAAAATATGATATCATATAAAGAAGTTACGACGTTCAGAACACAAGACCTAAGCCAAACCACAAGACCTACGCAACCAAGCAGCCGAGATTGCGATGGACATAAACATCAACAACCCCAAACACCTCATCAACGATTGTCCCACGTAAGATGTCGTGAGAAAAACCTAGATAAATCATTCATAAGTACTGAATGAGTACAAAAACAAAAAAAGTCTTATTTTGAAAACAAAAAAATATTAAGGTTTAAATATGTACAAAACTGTTAAGGACTAAATGTGTATAAAATAAGAAATATATTACCCTATTAAGTCATTTTTCCCGGCTAACCTGGAGTAATCGGTCATAAGGACTAAATGTGTACAGTTTAACAAGTTGAATGAGTAAATGTGGATGAAAAAAAAAACTCAGTGACCAAATATGTACAAATTGAAAAATATATTACCTTTTTACATTATTATTCCCCATTTTTTTATCATTTAATTGTTTTTAGAACCCTTTTTTATTAGACATATTTTGTTTTTTTGTAGTTTTTTTTTTTATTATTATTATTATTTTTTTAAAAAATTGATTTGATGAGATGTCTCTTTAATAGTCTGAATGTAAAAATAATATATGAATAGTCAGAAGGGAAAAATAACACAGATATAATCGGAACGGAAAAATAACACATGGATAGTTAGAACGAAAAAGAGTAACACACTGATAGTCTAATTGAAAATAAAAATAACACAAAAACAATCCGAACGAAAAAATATATTTTTAATAATAATAATAATAATATATTTATTATAAATAATGAAAACAAAAAATAGCAAAAATAAATAAATAAAACACAAGGGTAATCCAAACGAAAAAAATAATATTATGTATTTATTAAAAATATTAAAAACAAAAATATAACAAAAAAAACATAAAAACAAAAAACAACCAAAAAAAAGACAAAAAAAGAAATGTAGGAAGGAGATTTTTTTTAGGGGGGGGGGGGGGTTGGAATATTGAAATGTTCCTCCTTTAAGCACTCTATTATTTATTTAAGAAAATGCAATTCTAATTCATATTTTTTTTAGCGCCGACAATACTAGCCACTAATCAAACTCATTTTAAAATTAAAAATGATTAACCAAAATCACTTTAAAATTAAACATTTTTAATGTTATTTGAAAATTTTATTTGTATTTGTGAATTGAGATTATGTTTTTGTCATACTTTGAAATTTCATCAACATTTGGAACTAATTTAAATGGTATAATATTTAGTTAATTTATATACTTTTTGATTTTAAATGGGTCAACCCAAGTTTAATCAATTTATTTAATAGGTTGGATTGGGAACTATATACACAAGTCAACCAAGTGACAACCTATTTATCTAAAAGGTTGGGTTGGGTTGAAAATATCAACTCATTTAAATAAACAGGTTAGATTAGGTTGAAATATTCAACCTAGTTAGTAAATAGGTTAAACTTGAACCCAACCCAAGTCGACCTATTGCCAACTCTATTCAAGCATCCTATTCGGGTAGAAAAATGTAGGCATGTCAATTGGGTTGTGCTCGGGTTGGCTGGTCAGAATACATTAACCCAAACCAAACCATATAATATATGGGCTGGCGGGTTGGAAACATCAACCCAACCCACATACGTTTAAGTATATAGGTTCGCATCTGGATGGATTCGAGAATTCAATTAGGGTTAGGACTTAAGAGTGTTAGCTAGGGCATCCCGTGAACCTAAACAAGTAACCCAACTCATATAATATATGGTTTGGCATTTCAGGATTCTCAACCAAAACTCATTTATTTTCGTGTCGGGCTACGTGTTGTGTCGAAAATTGCCGCCCCTAGAAAATTATCACTTTTTTTCTCTTCTAAAAATTCAAAATTTTACCAAAAATAAATACCCACAGCTAATTCAATTCTTAACATTTTCAAACCTTTAACCCTAAATTTACCTCTTTCAATTCCATCTTAGCAAAATGCTTCTTCAAACAATGAGAAGTTTGTGATTATACCATGGAGACTAAACGAATTTGCCCCGTACATGGGTCTTTGTATCAAAGGACCCTGCAAACGAAAAAAAAAATAATGAGAGAATTATTTAATGGATAATTACTACTTGTTTCTCAACAAAATGAATCCAGGTAATTACTGATCGAATGATCATGTCTACATAAAATGAATGTAACATCCCAAATCCCGAGGTACCAATCATTTTATGTTATTGTTTTTGCTAAATGATTTTATAATAAGAAGTGAGGATTTCCGGCTTACGCGGGGGTACTAGCCATGTACGTCGGGCGTAAGCCTTAGCGAGGATTGGGATGGAGGCGACGTACACTGGGCGTACGAGTAGGTACGTCGGGCGTACACATGCAGGTGGCAAAACCTTAAATTTGAGTTGTGACCCCTATTTAAACACCATATGCCTCCCTTGGACATTTCCTAGACAGCCTCCCTTCCCTCTAAACCCTAGATATTGAACCCTATCCTTGAGAGTGAGGATCTTGGAGTCTTTTTGGTGATTTTATGCATTCTTGTTGAGGAAGAAGGTCCTTCAAGAAGGTGGTGTTGCATGCAAGCTTGTAGATCCTGAAACTACTTCATCTTGTGCATCTTTTGAAGGTATAAATTTTATACCTTGATGTGTTTCTTTCTAGATCTCCATAAATGAGTTTTTATGAGCTTTTTGTCCCAAATCTTGGATTTTTGTGAGTATGGAGTTTTCCAAAGCATATTAACTGTCCTTTCATGTGTTTTAGGTCTTGTAGATTGATGTGTGTTGAATACACTAGTTTTAATCCTACTAACTTAGACACAAAATAAACACACGAAAGGCAGTGTACCTATCGATTAGTAATATAGTTCAAGCAAGTAGGGTATCGAACACAGGGAACGGTAAACAATTAAAATAAATGCTAATATTATCTATAACGAGTAATAGAAAGGGGATTTTCTCTAGTTTTGCAAGACTAGAAACTTAAGCAATCAAATAACACGCAAACTAAGCAACTAACAGCTAAAGCAAATAAACAATAAACTAAATTCAATAATGGAGAAGACTTCTGTTTAGGTTCGATTCATTTACTTCTATGGTTGATTTTATGGCAAGTGCAATGGATTAATTGTTATTGGTTACCGATTAAAGTGATTAGATTCACATTCGCTGTTACCAATCCTTAGAAAACAAATTAATTTAAGCAGTGATCAAAGTGATTAAACTAATGAATTCTAGGTTAATTATTCGGGTTAAATAAGACTTGTAATTAGCTAATCAAATTACTAATTTAATTAACCTCTTTTTGATGGTTTGTCACACAAGCTCACACATTAATTTACCCACTTTCTAGTTAATCCTAGTTTCACGTTTGTTAATCCTAGGCACATAACAATGTTTTCACATAAATCACATGAGTTAAGCAATTAAGAGATATTCATGCAGCTTAATTACTTGATAATTAAAGAAATAGTTATGGTTAATGCATAAGGTGTCTTTAACAAGTTTATAAAACTAAATTCACCAATAAACAATTAATCCACCACAAATCAATCCATAGTCATAAAATTCATCTACCCTAAACAGAATATATGAGTTTTAACTCATGATTACAGCAGAAAGTTAACTCAAAAACGAAATCA